TCTCTCTCGCTCTCTCGCTCTCTCTCGCTCTCTCTCACACACACACACACACAATAAACAAGCACAGGTAAAATACTGCCCCCAGCCTGTACAGTTTCCCCCCAAGGGAATTGTTCACTCTTATGCCATCAGTGTCAACTCCAATTGACCCTCTGTTCACATATTTTGTTCATGTGGTGTGTTTATGTGTGTGTTCTATGGCCTGTCTCATAAAGCAGGATTTTGATGTAAATAAAGGTGGATAACTGTGCTCAGTACATGTTAAACCTGGAACTTGCTGCAAACCAGGGACATGAACTGAAATAAAAAACTTTTTTATTCACCGTGCTTTTATCCAACTAGCATTGTAATCCTGCTTTGCCCTGTCTCACCAAGTAAGAATAGTAGATTAGCCTGGTAACATTAGATCTCTGGGCTTTCCTGTATCATAAAGTTAAATTACCCTTTTTATGTGGTTTATCACCATGAAAACTGAACCATTGCAGCATATATCATAATAACATAGCAGGTTCAGTGGATCATATCGAAATGTGTACACAGCCCATCTCCTAATAAAACATAACAGTAGCAAAATAGAGCTTTCTTTGTGATTCAGGCTCCTGACTATCCGTGTTCCTTTACTTTCACATAGCTATTGTTAGACTGCTCTCTCCTTTCTGTCTCTTTCCTCTTGCTCCTCACAGAAAAGAGGAGGGTCACCTTTGAAAGTAAGTTAGCAGTCACCACAATGTGTCTTCTGACATGCATGAGCTCATCTACATGCATGTTTTACCGTACACACACATGCTCATATCATACTGTACATCTGTATTACTGTCCCGTTGTCAAGCTGTAACTTGAATTTATTCTTAAAGGTCAAGTTTGACGTGACTCTTTTTTTAGCATCGTTCCTGAAATCATGATTTAGATAGCATATGGTTGGATAGGGAGCTTTTCACCCAGAAGCATTTTAATGCATCCCATGGTCATTGGCATGCATAATCTGATTCTGAATGACAATATTGGTACACTTCAACATTGATATGCCTAATATCTGCAAATAAGTCATTCATTGTTCAAATTGCCCCATGCTGCTTGAAAACACAGAATTTCATGGACTTCTTGCTGACCTTCGAAATGATTTGGCAAAATATTATGGTGTTATATTTCTCTTTCAGTACCTCTTATCCCTGCACCTCTTATTCCCCTTTTGCATTGCAGAGTTTGGTCGTCGCGTGAAAGAGAGAATGCATCACAACATCCCTCATCGTTTCACTGTGGGTCTCAACATGAGGGCTGCCAAGTGTGCCGTCTGCCTGGACACTGTGCATTTTGGACGACAGGCTGCCACTTGTCTAGGTTTGTTTCCTGCACTGTAGCTGGGAGTACTGAATGTGAAGACATTTCAGAGGACAAATTTATTGGCAAGCAGAACAAAAATCAGAGAAATATTTATTGTGGCCATCAAATTAATCCCCCCCACATGGTGGAATACAATCTTGTTTTGGCTATCTTTGAAGTTTCTACTGTTATGAGTCCTGAAAAAGAAAAATAGGAAATTTTCCTATCCTATTTTAATTAAATAGGATAGGAATAGGATAGGATAGGATAGGATAGGATATTCTGTAAATTTTTTACAGGGCAAAAGTGCACAATAGCCTTCCTCTTGTCATTGTCAGTTATTGTTATAACAGCAATAAAAATGATGATTGCTATATGTATATTTTGGTTGTGATAACCTCTACCCGTCTTTCTCTCTCTCTCAAACATGAGTCTTCGAAAATCTCTTAACATTGCAATATTCACTTTCTTAAAAATGACTTATTGAATATAAAAGAGCTTTTTAATAAACCCAAATTTGCATTTTCTTAGACCCCTCTTTTTTTGTTTTATTATAGAGTGTCACACCCTGTGTCACCCTAAATGCTCACCATGTCTTCCGGCCACCTGCGGTCTGCCAGCTGAGTATGCCACTCACTTTACAGAGGCTCTGTGCCGAGAAAAGGCAAACTCTCCTGCGCTGCAGGTCAAAGAGGCCAGTGGGCATGTTCGCTTGGAGGGATGGATGAAGCAGCCTAGGTAACTTTTGACCTCAGTCACTTACTACAATACTGTGTACCATATGTTTTTTTTTTTCTCAGCTTTGACAGTAACATTGTTTTGTTTGTTCATACAGAAATGGCAAGCGTGGTCAGCAGGGCTGGGAGAGGAAATATGTGGTGCTTGATGGAACAAAAGTATCTATCTATGATACTGAGCCCAGAGAGGGTCAGTACTTCATTTTTTGAATGGTTTAATTTTCATTGGTAATAGAAAAACACATTTTAAACATTGCTGATCCATTCCTTAATGAGACAGTTTGTAATCATTTAAGTCTTTATATTACCATGTAGATCAATACAGCAGTATTAAATATAATAGCGTGGTGTTTGACTTCTAGACTGTATTAAAGCTGAGGAGGAGTTTGAGATCTGTCTGCCTGATGGAGAGGTGACTGTTCATGGAGCTGTTGGAGCCTCTGAGCTCATCAACACTGCCAAGTCAGGTACTGGATCAATACCACCTAATGCTGCTACACTCATCCTATTGAAGGATTTCAAGTGTATCATCCCCTCCCCAAATTTTGAATTGTAAAATGTTGACATTTCTGCTCAGCTGTGAAATGAAGCTGTTAGCCAGATAGCCAACCAGTCCGTCTTTGTGTGTGCGTACGCAGACATCCCATATGTGCTGAAGCTGGAGTCACATCCCCACACCACCTGCTGGCCAGGCCAGTCTCTCTACTTCATGGCTCCCAGCTTTCCTGACAAGCAGCGCTGGGTGGCTGTACTGGAGTCTGTGGTGGCTGGTAGCCGTGGCTCTAGAGACAAAGTGGACTCTGATGCTGTAAGTATAGTGTGTACATATATTGTATTTTTGTGATTGGGTTCAAAATTTGAGTTTGCCTATCAGATGTGTAAAAAAAGACAACGCAGTGTCTCCTTTATACAAGACAAACTCATGTATTATGCACATTTCAAAAAGTAACTTTATCCAAGGGTCGCTGTATTGTTTGGTGTGAAAATTAGGTAAAATATATTGAATGCCTCCATTAAACATCAGCCAGTGCCTTCACTTCTTTTTCTCTCCCTCTCTCTTCTTTCTCTCTCTGCATGTTCTCAACATCCACGTCTCCTATTTATGTGTTGTCATCGTCTTTGTTGATGTGATTATACTGTGCGTTTGTATCTCCATTCAACTCGGTTGTGTGGATCATATTATAGGCAGGTGTTTCTAAAAGACAGAAGAACCTATCCCCTCTGGTTCAGGTACAGTAAGTAGCTGCACGAACGCTTGGGCTTCAGTCGGCTGAGCATGCAGTAGTAGCTGTACACATCTACGCATACAACACTGATGCTGTTCAGTGCAGGTCAACACAGTCCCAGACTGTTACTGAAAATGTTCCATTGAAGGAACTGTCCTGTGGTAAACCGTGGCCAAACAAGCACATCACTTTTATTATACACTCATAAACTTACATAATGCATGGATGTGAATAAGCACTGCTGTGCACCTCTGGCCTGGTGTCCTATGCTATGTCATGCATGCTTCTGCAAAAGCTACTGTGGCCCCCTTCTCTGAATCATGACAGACACATGTTCACACTTCTTTAGCAACCTGAGCTTAACTTCAGTCTGCAGGCTTCTGCTGTTGGTGTTTGTGTCTTAATTGCTGTTTTAGAAGCAGTCTCCCCTTCCTTTTACATTCTGTGATAAATTACCCTTGAAAATAGTGTTACATTTGCTCTAAACCGTATGTCAGCATTTCCAAAAAACGTTACCCATGCTTTGTTAATTTTATTACCTATTCAAATGTGTATTTATTTATTGTTTATTTTGTAGGGACAGATACAGTAAACATAGACTGAAAACAGCTACCCAATGCAAGTATCATAGTGTTTATAATATATGATTGCTGAATATCAACAAATCTATTATCGTTTCCAGAAAATGGGCATTAACATTCTCCACATTTCTGGGAAAGCGTTTCACAAATGCAAATTAATCCCTGAGTTGTTTGATAGAGTTGATGTCAGGGCTCTGTGCAAGGGAGTTAAATAACTGGGAAAACAATTTATTTATGGTCCTCAATGCGCAAGGACATTTTCGTATTGTGACAGGATTCAAAGAATTTATTGTCATATGCACTGAAATGCCACCAGTACATTTCCATGCAATGAAACATTTGTGCCTTTGCTGATCACCAATCAACATGTCCAAAGTATTCACAGTATACAGTCACTACCACACAGTTGCACACACTTTAAAGGGCTACAGTATAAATATTCACATACAAAGTATACTTGAATAACTACAGCAGTGGGTTAGTAGCTACCTGCCCCTGTGCCCTGTTTAAAACCGTTGAGGATTAAAACTCATCTTTAAAATGAGTGGTTACGATATATTATACCTGATGGTAGCAGTGAAAAATAAAACAAGTGACCTGGATAAGTGTTATATAAAAGGCATTCTCCAAACCGTTGCCACTATGTTGCAATCACTGTCTAAGATTAACATTAATGGTTCCCTTTAACTGGATTTGAGGGGCCTAAACCAAGAAAAACAGCCCCACAGCAAGTATTTAAAACTATGTGGATATTGATGCCTACATACTTTTGGCCACATAGTTTGTGCATTTTTGGTCCCGCTATATTTCAACCCAGTAGATCAGTTTCACACTGCTGCACTTGTCGCTTATCATAATTAGTTGCCTAACTGCTACTGGGAATAAGTGTTGCTATGAAGCGGTTTCTATGACCACCCAGAAAGCAGTTATACAGCTTTAAATATGCTGACTGATTTAGAAAAAGTTCTTTGTAGGGCTGTTTGTGTGAAGACAACATTAAACATGAAAAGAAATGTACAAAATTATTATTTTTACTTAGCAAAATAATAAAAGGATCATTTTGGCATTGAAACTTAAAAGTTTCAGACAACAGACAACACCCATCCCAAATTCAAAGTAGTGTTTTTTGTGTGTTGTCTTTGGATAGAGATGACCGTTAAGTGATGCAGACATCCTCAGCTTACATGTGAATTTAATTTATCAATAGCGAAGGATGGATTCACTAATCAAATAGGAGAAATCTCTGTGTTTTGGTTGGTAATGGCTCTCTGGCTGCCATCCTTGCTGGGTCACCTTTTCTTGTTCTAAAAACAACTGATTTGTGGAAGATCTGCCTAACCTGCCCCTTCCCTTTGCTCTCCCTCTCTCTTTCGTTCTCTCTCCCTTTCTTTCTGCTTCTTGTCTGAATAGAAACTTCTGGGCAATTCTCTGCTGAAGCTGGAGGGTGATGACCGTTTGGACATCAACTGCACTCTGCCTCTCACTGACCAGGTACAAGAACAAAACCCTGTGCCATCAATAATAACATAATGAAGTTTACTTTTTATTTGTTTGCTATGTTTGGCATTTAGTTGACACTCTCATCCAAAGTAACAGAATCAGTCAGTCTACAGTCTGTTAACTCCTACGATCTACCTCATCTTTTCCACTCAGATCGTGTTGGTCGGCTCTGAGGAGGGTTTGTATGCTCTAAACGTCATAAAAAACTCTCTGACACACATCCCCGGGCTGACGTCCGTCTTCCAGATCCAGATCCTGAAGGAGCTCGATAAGCTGCTGATGATCACTGGTCAGTACACAATATTAAGGGGGCCTTTACACTCAATTATAAACCAGTAATTTAAGTTCTATTCTGTCAGTGCAAGCCATACTGTATTAGTGTTTCAGTAATAAATTATAATTCTACAGGCACAACTATTTGATGTATTAGTTGTTTTGAAAATATGACGTAGAGGGTACATCCAGCGGTTTCTGTTGTCCTGATAAATCAGATAATCCTTCATGTAAGTGTACTGTAACATATAGCATGATATTATATTATGGTTTAATAGACCGTTAGCTGTCATTGTGTGTGTGAATG